TGTTACGTTTTAACGCTGGGTGCTCTTCCCTAATGAAGTACAAAAAGCGTCGTTGGCGGCCGCATTATCGCCCTTATGCTTTTGACCTCTCCCCCGGTGCGGTAAGTGATGTAACTGAAGGGTATTTTCACTATCTTCCGCATGCATTTATCTTACTTGCATAGTTGACGTACTTTCTGACTTAGTTGTATAGCTTCTGACTGACAGAGTGGCGTAAATCCTTTCCGACTGACATTATACTGGGTCCGATATGTACGACAAGAGGCCTGTCCACATCGGATGAAGAGGCACCACTGCGTGCACATTCTTTTGACCGGCTGCAGCATACGAAGATATATGGCTGTAGGCAGAGTATCAGATCGTAGTGATGGTTAGACTTGAATTGAATAATAGTTCATGTACATTAGATGGAGTACTTTCGCTGCCTACTTATCAGCTCGGCGTGCTATTTGATGTGTCCGTGCATATCCCGCAATGCCGCCAATGGGTGTTGTCGTGATAGCCAACACCCATGCACTGGGTTACTGCTGCGATCTCGGTACTTTTGTATCGTCGTGCTAGCCTACTGTACCTACGATTATGATGTATCCGTCTATATGATCCAGCACGTCACTATTCGGGGCACAGGTCATACCCGCGGTGATACAGGCAAGCTGATCAGGCGTCTGTTAGCAGTATTCAAAGCAATATATACGCGCGCGGCGGGTACACATTATAGCCATCCGTGACTCAACCGAGCTCTTATCTCGGCCATTATGGACAGGGCGCTAAAGTAAAGTACTGCGTACAGACACATCTCCTTGCGATGGCCGCTTGTATGGTCATCACTACCGCATACGTGGTTGTGTCCATGTAGACAGCAGCTTATTCATCGCGCATAGTGCTCACTCAATACTGAAGCTTACATTCGTGAGCGCACATTAGTGAAATATAAACAGTGAGGGTTGGTGGTACATATAGCATGGGTTTGCGTGTGCCAAGTGAGCAAGTGTACTTTCCATCTACGGTAACGCGTATGCAGATAGGAACGGCCAGCTCGCAAGGGTACACAGTAGACACCATGCGCTAATTATTATACGAAACGCGCTACACTCCGTAGATGCTTGGCAGCACCACAGTTAGTTTACCATATGTGCGGCCCCAAGCCTCGCGCCGCCCGCCAGTATACAAAATACAAAGATAAGCGGGGTAACGGGGGCAATAAGGATATATTATCCAAATTACTTGCTCTTCTGCTGCTTCTTTTGCTCGATGTAATTGGCGTTTCGGGCGGTCAGCTTGCGAGGGCGGCTGCGCCTCTTTTTCTTCTTGAGGTACCAGTCAGGGCCCATCACCTCTTCGACGTTCGCCAGGCTTTCCTGGCGGCGCACTTCCCCGAAACAGGTGGTGGGGGCTTTTCCTCCCAAAACTCAACCGCTTTTGGGCCGCTCTCGCAGGCAATACAGCGCCGCACGATGTCCCGCCCGCTGATTGTACGGAATGCGTAGCCGTACTGCAGCTTCCCGCAGCAGACGCAGCGCGCCCGGACATCCGTCGTAGACCGCTGTGGGTTCAGCAGAAGCGGGTCAATCTTCGCCTCGCATTGCTTGCACGTAGGCCCCACCATTTGGCAAACTGTGCCTACGTTAGCAAATTATATTGTTTTAACCAATTACTTGCGTCTAAATATTAGCCAATAGCACGGTACTGTAAGGCTGGTATTTATTGTTAGACAAAATATTAAAATGTTTTAGCATATTACTATTTGGTTTTGCTATAATATATTATTAACAGATTTTTAAACAAATACATACTTTACATGCAATACAAATTGACTAAAACAACTATCTATCGTGCGTGCATGCATTCGTCGGGTGGGGTGCACGGGAGCAGATAGCGCAATGACCGTGCAGCCGCGCGCCTTCATTGCACGGTGGCAGTGTTGAGTGCCAGGTGAAGTAAAATATATATATATTCGCAAGGTCCCTACAAAAAGCGCTGGTCGTGAAGCCTACTCTAATATTAAAAAATACTATCGTCTCTACTTTAGAAAGTCTGTGGAAAATAGCATCGCCGAGCTCTTACAAATGCGGTCTGTGAAGCTTATATTAAGCATATTAGTACTATTAATATCGTCATTACTTTGAAAAGTGTGTGGAAAATAACATCCCAGAGCTCTTACAAAATACTGGTCTGTGAAGTCTACATTAATAATGATAAATATCTCTATTTGAGAAGTGTGCAGAGCTCTTAGAAAATAAAGTGGTTAGTGTGCCCGATTTGCAGTATCTGCGCAGCTCGCCTGGCCGTTTGCATCCAATCGATGCGTTTCGTGCTCGGCAGAAATGTTTACCTTACGTCCAATCGCGAGGGCGATAGACGGTCTGATCGTGCGACAGATCCAGTCAGTGTCGCAGGTCGGTCGGTATTGCCCAATCAAGGCGCGAGTTAATTGCGTCACGCATTTGGATATAATTGTAATTTTGGCATAGTTAGGTCGAGTCAGAAAGGTAGGCGCGGTCGGTAGGATGGGAGGAAACTGTATTAGACAGGCCAAGTGTAGCCATGCGAAAAGGCAGGAAAAAGCAGCAAGAAAGGAACCGGACGGACTGATTGACAGACGGACGGACGGACGGACGGACAGACACGCTACAAGGTTAGAAGCGGAGCGACTAGCGCTCTGGGCGCCCGCTCCGCGGACGCTAGGGCATGGTTGGTTGAGTGTAGTGCGGGCTGACCACCTCCGCTGCGCTGCGGTG